GATAAATATATATACACTCACATGCAAACATACAAATGTCATATTTACTATGAAACCTAAAAGAAGAGTAACTGCAGCACAGGCAACAACAAATGTTTTTATTTTCCTTTTCATTAATGCTGCGCTTTTTGCGCTGCGCACAGCGCAGAGTGAGTGAGAGAGAGAGAGAGAGATTGAGCGAGAGGTGAAGGTGGAGAAATTGGCACTGCAGCAGCTAGGCGCTCAGTCTGACACCGGCAGAGCGGCAGGGCAGAGCACAATTTGCTTTGCTCACATTCCGTTTCCAGTGTTCCAAGGCCGTCGTTTGGCAGMACGACGACGACGATGGATTCGGCTGGGGGTTCGGGCTCGTCAAGTGAATGTACAGAATCTATTTTTAGCCATCGCATCACGTCGTTTCGCTTTGCCATACGCTGGCGATGTCGTGATCGCCGCGCTGATTGGCCAACAGCCGCGGACGGCGTGCAATAACAACAATCGGCGAGCAACGACAACGGCAACTACAACTACTAAGGCAACAGCAGCAGCAGCAGCAGCAGCAGCTACAAGCACAAAGCATACACACACAACAAAAACAAAAACACTGAAAACGTATATAAAAAAGTTCTATGTCGCCGGCGTTGTTGTCGCTGTCGCTGTCGGCTTCTAATAGTGAATTAATAAAGGAATAAAATGAGCATTAAAATCAGCAGCAGCAGCGGCAGTAACAACAATGCTTAAGCAATGACACCGCTGGAATTATTGAAATTGTGCAGCTTCGACGTTCGCAGTTGTCGCTGCTGTTGCCGATGCCGATGCCGCTGCCGCTGCCGCTGCCGCTGTCGACGCACGAAGCGTGCCAAAATGTAAACAGCCTACATGCTGCTGCAGGAGGACATCGCAGCTAGCAGCGTCTGCTGTGCGCCTGTTAAACTGTTCCCAGTGTGAAACACACTCGCACACGCAGACGCACACGCACACGTACACATTCACACAAACAGGTGGCGTTTTCGAAGTTATTTTGTTATTTGTTGACGGCGCTGCTGTGGTCGCAGTCGCAGTTGCAGTTGGCGTCGCAGCTCAACTGAAAACTTTGCTGTTAATGAAATGCAAAAACGTGTTATGTAAAGAATAACAACAAATGCAGCAACAACAACAAYAGCAACAAGTAATTGTTAATAGCTTGACACTTATGCACTCATACATGTGTGTGCGTGTGTCTGTACGTGTGTGTGTGTGTGCATACTGCACATGCAAATAAAAATTAATCATTCAAAACTAACAAAATCCATAAAAAAAATAAATAAATTCTAAACAATGCAATGTTATCTAATCAACGAATCATAAATACCCTAACAAAGGCCATTTGGTTATAAATAAAATATAAGGAAAATAATAAAACGATTTTAAAGAATTGATTGTGCATTTTATAAAATATTAATAATAGTTAATAGTAAAAGTTTGTATGGTTAATGTAATATGGGATTATTAAATATGTATGAGTATGCGAGCAGTAAAAATAAAAAAATATCTATAGAATGTAAAATATTTTGTATAGAAAATCTAAACTTTTTAAATATTTGTATTGACGTATACTTTTTTTAATGTTTGCAATTTAGAAAAAAAAAAAAAATGATTCAATTCGGATATTTACCATATTTACTAGATTTGACATATATATTGTTTCCTTAGTCATATAATCTGTTCTATTAATCAATCTATCAATCTTTTGTTTTATACTATACATATACTTCTACAATTCCAAGTTATGTGATACATGCTTTATAGTTTGGTTTATATGCCTATATATATAGTTATATTTAGTTGGGACAGTATCTCTCTGATAAGTTGAGTGTAATTGCTGACTGTTGGATGGGTTTAGCCAGTTAAGAGTTCGTGTTGTATCACAGGGTATCAATGAGCTTTGTGGGTCGCCTTTGATGCGCCTAACAGTAGGCAGTAGTGGCAGCGCTCCCTCTCACACCCCCCTCCCTGCCTGCAGCACATGATGAGACCCGCTCGCCCCACGCTCTCTGCGCTCCCAAGCAAGCGTTCGCTAAATAGGCGGCTATAATTTTTAATAGCTTTTGTTACTCATACGCCTGGTTGGACAGCGAACAAAAATCAACCCAGCCCCTGCCCCTGCCCCTTCCCCTGCCCATCGTGCAATTTGCTGCGTTTCACTGCAATA